CAAGGCACCGGCCCAGGCGCCGGCCAAGGCACCGGCTAAGGCGCCGGCCAAGGCACATCCCCAGGCGCCGGCCAAGACGGGGCCTAAAACGGCGCCGAGGAGCGGAGTGGCATTCCCTCCGCTCCCCACTCCGACACCCCTGCCGGGCCCCTCCGCACCTGCCCCCTCCAACGAGGGTTGGCAAGAGGCGAGGGGCTCCAAGAAGTCCCGAAGGCGGGCCAGAAAGGCTGCCCAAAAAGCAGCCCAAGCCCAGCCTTCGCCACCGGTGGCAACGGCCTCTGCAAAGAGGCCGCGGAAGCTGCAGCCGCCCAAAACCGCGGCTGTAGTTGTGACCGTGTCCCCGGAGGCGGCTGACGGCGGGCTGTCCTACGCGGCCGTTTTTAAAAAGGCCCGGGACAGCCTCGCCAACGACTTTGGGACGGTGGGGGTCAGGATGCGCCTCGCCCAGACGGGAGCTCGAGTCCTCGAGTTCCCTGGGGCTGAAGGCGCTAAGACGGCGGACACATTTGCCGAGAAGCTGCGGGGACTCTTTACAGCCACGGATGGTGTAAAGATCGCCAGGCCTACTAAGTGCGCAGAGCTGCGCATCTCGGGCCTGGACGACTCCGTAACGGCCGAAGATGTCCGCGCTGTAATCCGGGAGAAGACGGGGTGCAGCGCGGACAACGTCAGGGTCGGCACCATCCGCCCCGGTCCAGGAGGGCTTGGCGCCGTGTGGGTCAGCTGTCCCGTAGCGTCGGCCAAAGTATTGGCCGACGCCGGCAGGCTGCTCATCGGTTTCGTGAGCGCCAGGATCACAGTCCTGGCGGCGAGACCGATGAGGTGCTACAAATGCCTAGCGGCGGGACACACGCGCTTCAAGTGTGACAGCTGTTTTGACTGCGGCGGACTGTGTTTCCGCTGCGGTCAACCGGGGCATAAGGCGGCAGAATGCTCTGCCGCCCCTCACTGCCCAGTGTGTGCGGCGGGCAATAAGCCCGCCAATCACCAGATGGGGCAGAGAGGCTGCAAGCCTCCCCGCAGTTCTCGGCAGACGTCGGGGGTTAGCTAGTCGACCCAGGCTGCCTCCGATGTGGTTCGTGCGTCGACGTCGTCGCCCATGGAGGAGGTTGTAGAGACGATCCAGTAATGGATCAAGTCTCCAACCTCCTGGTCCAGACGAACCTGAACCACTGTGCCGCGGCGCAGGATCTCTTCCTGCAAACCATGGCACAGTGGTCGATAGGTGTTGCCGTAGTCGCGGAGCCCTATTCTGTCCCTCCCCGTCCAAACTGGATGGGTGACTGGGACGGCTCCGTGGCAGTCGTCGGTTCCACGACGGCTCATTCCCCGCCCTTGTCGCTAAGAGACAAGGGCACTGGATATGTTGCCGTCGAGTGGGGGGGGATCACCATATATGGTGTCTATTTCTCCCCCAACCGGAGTTTGAACGACTTCGAGGTTTTCCTAACCAGCTTGGAGACCTCGATACGGCGACTAGCGTCTGGGCACGTCCTTGTGCTGGGGGACTTCAACGCAAAGTCCATTGCGTGGGGTTCCCCCAGGACGGACGCCAGGGGCGAGGCCGTAGAGGAGTGGGCGGCCTCGGTGGGCCTCTGTCTTCTAAACAGAGGCTCCACCAACACGTGCGTGCGACAGCAGGGGGGGTCGATAGTGGACCTTTCGTTCGCTACCCCTGCCCTCGCCGCACGAGTAAGGAACTGGTGTGTCCTGGAAGAGGTTGAGACGCTCTCGGATCACCTGTATATCCGATTTGAGCTCTCCCGGACCCAGGACTCCAGTAGGGGTCACGTGGCGCGGCGTTTATCCCGCTTTTCGCGGTGGGCTGTTGCCAGGCTGAACCGGGACCTACTAGAGGAGGCAGCCATAATTCACTCGTGGCTGTCTCCTCAGGCTCCGACCGAGGAGGTCGACGTGGGGGCTGGCCGCTTTCGCGATGCGATTACGCATGTATGCGATGCGGCCATGCCCCGCGTTCGAGGTCGTCGGCCTCCAAGGAAGGAGGTCTACTGGTGGTCCCAGGAGCTGGCGGACCTCCGTGCGGCCTGTACACGTGCCCGGAGGTCCTACACGCGCAGTCGGCGGCGTCACCGTGGAGACGGTGAGGAGGACCGGCTTCATGAGGAGTACCGGCGGGCGCGGAAAACTCTGAAGCTGGCCATTAGCCGCGCCAAAGAGGAAAAGAGACAGGAGATGCTGGAGGGTCTTAATCGTGACCCCTGGGGTCGCCCTTACCGCGCGGTGCGACAAAAGCTCCGCGCGTCGGGCCCCCCCCTTACGGAGACTCTCCAGCCCAGCTTCCTGCGAGAAGTGGTTGAGGGCCTTTTCCCACAACGGGCGGAACACACTCCCCCGTCGATGGCCTCCTTGGCCGACGACGGGGAGCACGGGGAGGATAATGTTCCGCCCGTCCGGGAATCGGAGGTAGGGGCGGCTGTTCTACGGATCCGTTCCAAGAACACCGCCCCTGGGCCAGACGGGGTACCGGCCCGAGTGCTGGCCCTGGCCCTCAACCACATGGCAGACCGCCTCGGGGAGGTGTTCGACGCTAGCTTGGCGTCGGGACGCTTCCCTGAGTGCTGGAAGAGCGGGAAGCTGGTCCTATTGAGGAAGCCGGGACGGCCTGCCGATTCGGTCGCGGCCTATAGGCCCATCGTGCTGCTGGACGAGGCGGGCAAATTGTTTGAGAGGGTTCTTTCTGCCCGCATCGTCCGGCACCTCTGCGAGGTGGGCCCCGATCTGTCGGACGCCCAATTTGGTTTCCGGGCGGGGCGTTCGACGGTCGACGCCGTGTTGCGCCTGAGGGCCGTGACCGAAGAGGCCGTGAGCTGTGGCGGCGTGCTGTTGGCGGTGTCACTGGACATCGCCAACGCATTCAATAGTCTGCCATTCAGCTGCATCAGGGAAGCACTCCACTATCATGGGGTGCCAAAGTACCTGAGGCGGCTAGTGGCAGACTATTTAGAGGAGCGTACCGTCGTGTACGAGGACCGAGAAGGTAATTTGAGGTGTCGGCCCATGTCGTGCGGTGTTCCACAGGGGTCTGTTCTTGGACCCCTCTTGTGGAACATAGGGTACGACTGGGCCCTTCGCGCCGATTTCCCCCCCGGGCTGGGTGTAATCTGTTACGCAGGACGATACCCTCGTGACAGCCCGGGGGGCAAACTTCCAAGAGGCGGCGCGCCTGGCCACAGGGGGAGTCTCCCTGGTGGTCGGGCGCATTGAGGCGCTGGGCTTACGGGTGGCCCTAGATAAGACGGAGGCCCTGTTATTTCATGGGCCCCGTCGTGGTCCACCCCCTGGCGCCTCAATCGTGGTCAACTCGGTCCTCGTACCGGTTCGGGCCCAGATGAAATATCTGGGCCTGATCCTCGACGGGAGGTGGCTCTTCGACGAGCACTTCCGACAGCTTGCTCCAAAGCTGGTCGGCGCTGCGTCTGCCCTAGGGCGACTCTTGCCCAATATGGGTGGACCCAGCGTCGCGACAAGACGGCTGTACACGGGGGTTGTCCGGTCAATGGCGCTGTACGGTGCACCGGTGTGAGCGGCGGCTCTGACCGCCCAGAATAGGGTACGCCTCTGGCGCCCTCAGAGGGTAATGGCGGTCAGAGCCATACGCGGTTACCGCACCGTTTCTACGGAGGTGGCAGTGCGCGTTGGCCGGAACTCCCCCGTGGGATTTGGAGGCGGAAGTGCTCGCCGAAGTTTATCGGCGAGTGGCTGACTCCCGGGCGGAGAGCGGATTTCGCCCTCCGCCCGAGGATGTGCGCGAGTGGCATGAAGCCGCTCGCCGAGCCACGATGGCTCGTTGGTCGTTCCGGCTGGAGACTCCACGCGCTGGCTTCGTCGCCGTGGAGGCTCTCCAGCCGGTCATCGCCGAGTGGGCAGGGCGGCAGCACGGGACCCTTACCTTCCGGCTGACGCAGGTGCTTTCCGGGCACGGTTGCTTCGGAAAGTACCTGCACTCGGTCGCTAGGAGGGAACTGAGTCCCGCCTGCCACCACTGCGACTGCAGTGAGGACTCGGCCCAGCACACGCTGGCGGTCTGCCCCGCATGGGCGACGCAGCGCCGGGCCCTCACTGCAGTCATCAGAGTGGATCTCTCGCTGCCGGCCGTAGTACGCTCCATGGCCGGTAGCGACAGTTGTTTTACCGCGGTCGCAACCTTCTGCGAGGAAGTAATCTCGCAGAAGGAGGCGGCGGAGAAGGCCCGGGAGGACGACCTCCACTCGGACCCGATCCGCCGCCGGCGAACCGGGCGGCGGAGGCGCGCCTATCACCGCCTCATGCCGCCCTGAGTGTGGCCGCGGGTGGAAGGGGTGGGTTTCCCCTCCACCCGCGAGGGGGCGGCGTCCGCGTGTGCCGGACGTCGCCTAAAGAGAGGAAAATTTGGAGACGGGGCCCGCAACAGGAGCGGGCCGGCGCTAGGAGGGGTCCGGATGTCTTAATAACAGGTGTTCCCGGATCCCTCCTATTACAAGCGCAGAGTGGCTCACCGTGTGGTTTTAGACGGTCCGAGTCCGACACACCACTCTGCCGCAAACCCCGGTGGGGTGACGGTCCGAGGGGATTTCCACACGTTAAAAAAAAAAAAAAAACACAAAAAGGGTTAGTGTCATGTTTTCCTTCTTTTTCATGTGATGGTGTCCTGAGTTATTTTTTTGTTCTTGGTCTCATAGCTAGTCTAAACTGACAGTATTTGAATAAAACAAAATCATCCTATATTGATACTTTATTTACTTAAATTACATGAACTTCTAAGTACTAATCAATAATAATACTAAAATACATTACTTAATACAAATGTTATGTTCCGATTGACGTGTACAATATTCTTGAATATACTTTTATCAGCATAGATGTAGTGATAAAGATTTATTTAAATATATCTAAGAGAAAGGGTCTTATGAAGGAGGTACTCACAATGCAAAAAATACCTAATGGAGTGGATTCTGTGTTCAAATTTGCATCCTTAACTTATTCCGGCAACAATCGTAGACATGGAAGAAGAAGATCCATCCCCTACATATACAGCATCCAAGAGGAAACCAGTTTTTCGGAGAGACCGACACCTACAATCCGCCCTACACAAAGGGGAAATCACGTATATGTTTGAGAATTGGAAGAATCCCCAGGGTCTTAAGAAAGAACATTTATTACTAAAGAAGGACACCAAAGGTGTGTGCTATCTACCATCTGACCAATTTATTCATTGGGCACTGCTACATGTGAGCAAGAAGCAAGAAGATATGAGGCTTGCTCGAGGGTTATCGAAGCATATAAAGGTAGCGAATGATGCCACAAACCTAGGATGTCAGGATTTTTGTGGAGTCTCTGTTCCAGCATTGCCTTCGAGTGGCCCCGAGCTTCTGCGTCAAGTTTACGTCATGAAGATAACCCTAGGATGAATAACAGATAGAATAACATTTAGTGAACAACATACCAAGACTTACAACTTCTTCGGCTGCAAAGCAAAGTGTTATGGCAATTTGCATGTGGTTTGGCCTTCTGATAAGTTCGCTTACATTATAACACATAGTCATTTTCTTGCTGTTAGAGATTGTATAAATGCTTGGTTTTCCGCTTTAGCATATTCTTATTCCTGTAGTAGAAAGTATGCTGGATACAACCTATACGAGGCAGTAGCAAATGTAATTTATGCAGTTCTTAATGATATTAGTATATATAAAGATAAGGCGTATGACATATTAAAGTGTTGGCAGCCATTAGTAATATCAACCATACTCAAGGACATAGAAGGGGATCCTCATTTCTTCAATTCTCTCAAGGATATATTACAACTGTATCCTAATTCACTGTTGCTTAAGATTGCAACAAGGAGGATATCAAACACAGTAGATGTCCACTTAGCACTGGAATTAACAGGCCTAACCAAATGCTTCGGACATCCAGAGGTGGTCATGGATGCTAGCATAGCAACGTGGGTAGACAAGGGAACTATCCTCAAACCGGGTCTAGAAACTATAGCTGAAGAAATAAGAAGGGCTTTTGTACTAGAATTCTCAAGAAACTTCTATAAACAGAAAAGAAAGTGGCCGAATATATCATTAGGACCCAATGCAGATCCCATTATAAAACAATGTTATGAGGGAGGATACGGGGGAGAGGATCCTGGAGAACCCTGGTCCACTGCCATGTTTGCAGATGTGAGGTTTGAGAAAACCATGGAGTTCGACTATCAGATATATACAGCGGACTTGTTAGCAGATAAATCTATAATACCCAGTTTGGAGCACTGGCCTTATGAATATGATAGTCAAGCTCACAGGACAAAACATGGCTTCTTTCCGTCTGCACCACCCCGGGAGAGCAACAATGTAATAATGCAGTACATAGGTAGAGAAGAGGTCAATGTCAAGAATATAATACAAACAGTAGCTGAGAAAAGAATACCTAAGTGATGGAAGGTAACAGTGGGAGTAGCAAAGGAGAGGGAGATGAAGAAAACCAAGGCTAGATTTTTTGGTAAATTAACCCTAGAAATGAGGTTGTTGCAACTGAGAACAATATAAAGAATGTATTCAAATTCATACCCCACCAAACCATGACTAAGTCAGAAGATGATCTATTTAAACACTTATTGAGAATATCAGAGTCATCATCTCAAGATGAGGGAGGGCATGTATTTATGGCAATGGATTTCTCCAGTTGGTGTACCAGTTTGCGGTTTGAGGGTGTGACACCCTTATTTGAGGAGTTAGATCGCCTATTGGGTGTTAAGGATGTCATGGCATACACTCAGCTGTTTCCCCTTGAATCTATACTGTTGTTTCAAGATAGATTCCATCCTCCTAAACAGGGTCCTGATGGTTATCCTCTTAATGGGCCAAGATGTGTTCATGGTCCTGAGGCATGGATGGAGGGTTTGAGGCAAAAGGGATGGACATTAGCTACCCTCCTTCTTATTCTTGTTGCATCCTGGAAGTGTGGAACCATAGCCACCTTAACAGGTCAAGGAGACAACCAAGTTATATATTTGAGATCACCTAGCAAGTCTACTCTAGAAGGAATGAGAATGACAAGACATAGTTACATTAAGTGGTTTCAGGAGACATTACTGGGCTTATGTACACAAGCTGGTATAACACTCAAACTAGAGGAAACATGGGTGTCATCCTCCTTGTTAGAGTATGGGAGGGAGTTTTTCTTTAAAGGAGCACAAGTAAGCTCCTCATTGAAAAGAATATCTAGAATATCCAGTGAGGCCAATCAAACCATACCATCCTTTAACAGTGATATAGCGGGTATATACTCCACAGGAATGTCAGCTGCACAAAAAGATCATACCCCTATATCAGCTTTTTGGACAACAGTATTAGAGGCATCCATAGCAGCTCATGAGAGATTTCCTGAACTCAACAAGTATCCTCCAGAGTATGTGGCATGTTTGTTATCTGTCCCTAGGACATTAGGAGGATGGCCTATTACATTGTTTGCCAACTTCTCCACTAGGTCTGTTCAAGATGCCCTGACATGCGCACTTCACCTAGTTAGAACACTCCTACAGTCCCCTCGTCATAGACAACATATGTTGAGAATAGCCATTACCAGAATGAAGTCAACTGACCCAACCATGTTAATAAAGGACCCTCAGTCTTTACCTCTTATTCTACCTCGTCAGCCTGAAAACTATCTAAAATCAAAAATAGCAGAGGGTCTTCCCTCTATAATAAAGAACAAAGAGCTAACCCCTCTATTTTCACCCACTATGGAGGAAAACAAGAAGAGATTAGTGTCAGATCTTATGGCTATCAGGCCTTGTAACCCAAAACTTATGTCAAAACTAATGACATTATCTAATGTTGGTAAACAAGAGGCCTTGGTTAACAAGTTTTCCAGTACACGATCCATCCAAAATGTGGCATGTAGGGAGTGGAGTTCCGAGACAGAGGTACTACGAGATGTGCGAGCTATGGAGAGGACAATGATGGATCACATCCTGTCGAGAGGTGTCGATCCTGTTCTGTTCCATGTTGGTCCTGGTACCTGTTTGACCCAACTGGCGCAAAAACTTAGGGAGACAGGCTGGGGTATCCAGTTAGAGGGAGTTACAATGCCAGCACAACAGGAGCAGGCCCAAGTATGTAAATGGGACAATGTCCCCTTGGAAATGTATGATAAAACTATATCCCTAATGGTTGAAGGGGATTCCACCCAAGATTGGAACTTGACCCGAGGTCCTGTTCCTCCTTACATAGGTGCACCAACTAGGATCCGCGCCAAGAGACAGCCTCTGCAGGAGATGGAATCCTACAGCTTTACTCAGTCCCTATCTCAAGCCCTTCAGTTAAGAACTTGGGTAAAAGGGGATGAGGGTCTTACTAAGCTGATAGATAGTATCATTCAGGAAAAGACAGATGCAAGTGAGGAGGAGCTGGACAGAAGAACATCTCATGTATATTCTGGCTCATTAACTCACAGATTACCCTGTCCAACCATGAGCAGAGGAGGACAAAGCAATTCCACTAGTAACTTTGCATCCCACATTAGGATATCCTCTAGTACAGCAACTGCATATGCTAAGAAAGGGGAGGACTATACCATATGTTTCCAGGCTGTGTTTCTCCATAGTATCGCTTCCCTTAATATTATGTATCAAAAATATGGCAGCCTTCCGCCTCGGATGGCTGTTGTGTTGTCCCGGGGATGTTGTGTGTGGACCATTCCCCCTGAAGTGTTCTCCCTAGACATCTCTACCTACCAAGGGGTTCCTATACCTTCTGCCACCTTGCACATTGAGCCTATGCCGGAGACTCAGCTTCCCTACAATCCGCCTCTTGTGAGTCTTGATCAGTCGTATGCTGCCCATATGGCCTACAAGTTTGCAGTTTGGATACTAAATAGAAGAGACACAACCCATATATCAACCTTAGAGAGAAGAGCTGTAGACGATGTGTCAACACCCCCATTCATTAATCTATCTGAGGCATGTAGGCTTCATGTAGAGTATTTCTTCGAGTACCTAGCTAGCTATTTAGTTGTCCTAGACATATCATTCAGTACCAACCCCAACTCTATATTAAATGAGTTAAGGAAATCTCCAAATAGAACAGGGTTCGATGGCTTGATAGATACCATAATATTAAGTGGTTTAACTCATTCTTTCTGCTCACTGATCAGGTCTTCTCCTATAGATTTGCAGGACAGGGATGGATGGAGGAGGGCTGTGTCAGATAGGATATCATATGAGGTGGATAAGGGGGTCCTATTCTTAGCAAATAGCTCTGTGGTACTCATACCAGAAGAGACAAGGCATCTATTTACTAGATGGTTTAGAACTATGGCCCATCATCTAAGAAGGAGAGTAGATCCGGAGGTCATAAGGGGCATGAGTGGGCAGGAGATGAGGGATCTCCTCAATAGAGCACTGCCCAATTCATCCTTAAACCATATTAGGTGGCCTCCTATGGCAATGTCTGAGGAGGAAAGTATAGCGGGTATTAGAAGGACAGCTAGACCGTGTCATAGACCCATAAGACCCATTGCAATCCCACCTACTCCTCTGACTCAAGAGACAGGTAATGAAGATGCAGACCCCGAGTTGGAGGAAGCCATGTGGTGTGTTGCGGGTGGAAGGGTTATGAACCAGCTATATGAGGCGTTTGTCATATTAAAGGACAAGATAAAAGTCTTACCAGACAAAGCCATTCGACTTTATACCTTAGGGGACAATAATGGGGCTGTGTACTCTATGATTTGTCATATTCTTTCAGGAAAGGTTGGGGGAGGATTCCCGTACTCCGCGAGGGGGCGGCGTCCGCGTGTGCCGGACGTCGCCTAAAGAGAGGAAAGATCAGAGACGGAGCCCGCAACAGGAGCGGGCCGGCGCTGGGAGGGGTCCAGAAGGCGATAACTACCTGGACCCCTCCTAAACTGGAAGCGCAAAGAGGGCACACCGTGTGGTTTTAGTCGGTTCGAGTCCGACACACCGCCCCGCCGAACGAGAGCCCCGGCGGGGTGACGGTCCGAGGGGATTTCCACACGTAAAAAAAAAAAAAAAAGGATTCCCGTACTGGACCGGAAAATCCTCTAATATTCAATCTTCTTTAGAGACAGGACCTAGCTGTGTTACAGGTATGTAAGAAAACGCAACTATAAACGTGCAAATTGGAATAAGTATTTACAGAATATTTCAGAAAATCCTAATTTGGTTAATCATAGTTACGAAAACATTCAAAAAATATATGACAACCTAGTAAGTATAATTAATACTGCGGCGGATAAACACATACCTTTCGTAAAAATATGTAATAAGCCCGATAACAAATTCAAACCAAAGGATTATTGGAGTCCAGAATTGTCTAAAATAGTCGCACAGAGGAGGTTGGTTTGGTTAACTTTAGACGGAACCCTACGCCTGATAATCTTACAAATTTAGAGAATGTAACAAAAAAATCTCAAATGTTAATTAGAAAAGCAAAATCGGATAGTTGGCATAGGTTTTGTGACTCCTTTAATGAACAACTTTCAGCTTCTAATATTTGGCAGCGTATGAAATGGGTAAAAGGGTTTAAACAAGCAAAGGTGTACCCTTCTATACAAAAATGTACGGATCTATTAAATTCTCTAACTGCAGATTATGCTTCTAATTCAGAACCCATTTTCACGTCTAGAAATGAAGCTTTGGAAAAGGACTTTTTGATTCATGAACTTCAAAGCGTTTTAAAAAAGAAAGATTCATCTCCAGGTGAAGACGGTATATCTTATACCATGCTTTACTATTTACCGTGTATAGCTAAAAACTATTTACTTGCTGTATATAATATTATTTTTGAACATGGTGTGATTGCCTCTCAATGGCGAAACATCCAAATAGTTCCTATTCCCAAAACCAATAATAATAATGGTGACATTAAATTACGTCCCATATCCTTAATTTCGTGTAAATGTAAAACATTTCATTTGATGATTTTTAAAAGATTAGAGTGGTATACCGAAAAAGAAAAAATACTATCACCGTTTACAATAGGGTTTAGAAAATCAAAATCCTGCTTGGACTGTTTGACTAAATTAGTTACGTACACTCAGATTGGTTTTTCCAAAAATATGCCAACATTAGCTTGTTTCTTGGATATCGAGAACGCTTACAATAACATTTCAATTGATGTAGCAGTAAACGTACTTGATAAGTTAAACATCGGTTCGGGGACCTGTAAATATCTCTGGTCGTTTTTAAGTGAGAGGCATTTAAAGATAAAATTAATTGACAATAATATGGTAACAGATATACTAACAATGGCTTAGCTCAAGGAGATCCACTTTCTCCATTACTTTTTAATTTGGTTACGTACAAAATATGTCATAGGCTTCAAAATGTATTTGTATTGCAATACGCTGATGATTTCGTTGTATATATTAGTAATAAGGATATTAAACTCTGTGAAATGTACGTTCAGAATGCTTTGAATATAGTAGTAGAATTACTAAAGGACCTAGGATTGGCACTATCTTCAAACAAGACGCAATATTGTCTTTTTAGCAGAGGACATAGAAGGAATTTACCTATTCTAAAAATAGACAGCCCTCTGATTTATTCTGAAAATATAAAGTATCTGGGTATATGGCTCGATAGGGGCTTAAACTGGAGAAAGCATATCAATGAGGTGGTCGATAAATGTTCCAAATTTCTAAACATATTAAAGTTATTAGCGGGTAGTTCTTGGGGGGTACACATGATACATTTACTAAGACTATATATATCCCTAATTAGAAGACGTATTGACTATGCGTCCTTCCTATATGATTGTAGTGCTAAAAGTCATATTTGTAAACTTGATAAAATTCAGAACCAGGCATTGAGAGTGGTAGGGGGATTTATCAAAAGCTCACCTATTCATGTAATGGAGAGTGAGTTGCACATTGCGCCTCTGTTTATTAGGAGACAATATCTAGCGTACAAATATTCATTAAAAATTAGATCTTGGTCCGTAAATAATATTAATAGTATAATTTCTGAAATGAGTGCTCTATGTCACATCAGATATTGGGCTACTAAAAAAAAGCCTTTGCTGACACAAACATTTGAAGATATTAAACAAATTATTAAATTGCGATTCTGTTGATATTCTTAGAATGTTTTCTTTCGAGGTTTGGTTTTCGGCTATTGATTTTCAAAAATGTGTCAGTATTAATTTAGAGAGCATATCACTAGCGAAATCTTACTATGAGCCTAATACTTTGATAAATAATGTTGTAGAAGAGTTAAATACGAACTATAGTGGTTGGAATAAATTGTATTCTGATGGGTCAAAGGGCGCTCATGGATTAGGTGCAGGTTTTTATGATCATAGTTGTAATCACAGAGCAGGTTTTAAAAAAAGTTCAGAAGTATCTATTATGACGTTGGAACTCATTGCAATATTACAAGCTTTGTCCTATGCGTTGGGGAAAAATTACAATAAAGTAGTTGTTTTTACAGACAGTAAAAGTGCACTGCAACACGTGGCTCGATGCGCCTCTGGTTTCAGAGGTGCTTCGATAGCTTACGAAATATTAAACGTCATTTTATTGTATGTTAACAGGAACTCGGTGGTTAAGTTGCAATGGGTTCCAGCGCATATTGGTTTACGGGGGAACGAGGAAGCGGATCGTCTGTCTAAATTGGCGGCGACGGCAGGTGTCGAATATAATTTTTTACCAGATTATGTAGAATATGTATTTTAATTTAAAACTAAATGTTTTGATAATTGGAACGAACATTTTAACACTATATCTAAAGAAAAAGGAATATGGTACAAGGCAATTCAAGACGAAGTTCTTTTTATACCTTGGTTTAACTGTAGTAGGTTAAGTAGGAACTACATTAAGTTAGCTCTAAGATTGCGATCCGGACACTTTCCATCGGCAAAGTTTGCATTCCTAATGAAAAAAACAAATTCACCTAACTGTATTACATGTAACGTGGTAGAGGATGTACAACATTTGCTCATGGATTGTGTCAGGAATAAAAATGAAAGGGAGAAGCTAATCAATGAATTTAAATTAAATATTTTAGACGTGGGGTTGGTACAAACAATTTTGGAACAACCAAAATCAGAAGTGGCAAAAAGACTAAGTCAATTAGTTTACTTCATTGATTAGTATTTCTCTTTCTCTTATTAGTTTTAAGAATGTGTTGAAGGTAGATAGCATAAGGCACGATGGGGTTGACGTATCCATGTGGATAAAAACCCCAATACAAAAAAAAAATAAAAAAGGAAGGAAAAAAAAAGTTATTCCGGTAATTTTAGCAGTTCCCAAAAACTGAGAAAAGCTTAAACTGTGCCCTCGCCTTGGTCGGTTCTGTATGCACATTTTTGTTAGCATTAACGGAACGCGTAACTATCTGATGTTAAATTTTAGGTGAGTATATTACTATAGTACTATTATAATATATGTTTATAAAGATTTGTAAGATAAAGGAGACTCACACTGGACAACATCTTCAAATTATGCACTGGTACCTCTTTATTAGTACTTAAACACTGTAATTAATAAGTATCGATGTCGATAGATAGAACAGACGCCCTTATTTTTAATATAGTTTCTATTGACATTGCATTCCTTATGTCTAAATCTAGATCACCGAGATGGCACGACTAGTTACTTCTATTTGAACATTTCAATTATAAACTGTTAACTGGGCCTGTCTGCACAGCGATATTTCACTGTTAGGTTTTTATTCTAGTGTTTTTTTTTAAAGACAACTCCCGCACTAGGAATAAATCCTGTGTCGCGGGGGACTTTATAAACATACATTAAATGGACACAAAGGATACCCAGACTCAGAACAACAATTTGTCCGAACCCACAACACCCAGCGCAAACCACTACGCCATCTGTGCAGTCATATATTCCGCGATCGGAAATACACGAAGTATGCACTGCGAATTGCCACATCTGCCATTTATGCCATGGCCATATCTACAGCACAAAACATTCGCGCAAAACAAATCACAGTTTTTTTTTCGCGTATTTTTTTCCGAGTTTATGTAAATCCCATGAGAATTTTGCGTTGAAAAACGTGCCGTGAAATATCGCTGTGCAGACGAGCCCTTACATCTATTGTTACAAAACACGCAATAATCGATCTACTTTTATGTTTTAAATTTGGCATAAATATAGTTAAAGACAATCATTTTATTGGCAAATTTAAGCATATTTATGCTGCGTAAAACGGACTGAGGCATTTTAGATTTTATATTAAATCATATAATGCATAGTATAATTTACAAACATTATATATAACTTCTAAATAAGCCAACTAACTGAATGACAAAAAAAAACCATTTAGTCATTTAAATTATTTCTAAGACTTATTATAAAATAATATAAACTAACATACATTTATTTTTATTGAAATAATTTAGAATGTTTATATACTAGGCAGTGTATTAATATGCAAAACTTAACACTTTGTCTATGACAAAAAATAATAAAAAAGATACAGTACACAGTCGTAGACTTCTTTAAAATAAATATAAATACGACACAATTTTTTTGAATTTTTGGTTTGAAATGAGGCAACACAAGTTGCATTGTACAGGCGACGTTATGATTTGTGAACACAAAATAACATTAGACATCCTTTTATTTTATTATTAAAGTGATAACTTCTTATGGGAGGATAAACCGCTTCGTTACGTAACGCGTTACGGCGCCAGTCTGTCTGGGTTACCTTTCTCTCACGCATACGGCAGCGGTAGGCAGGCTTCTCCTCTTTCACTCTAACCCACAGCGCTATCCGTATTTCGGACAGACGCTTAAAATTTAAGTAAGCTAAGCTTTTCTCAATTTAAACAATTTCACACAAAAGTTTAAGTTATCGCTTCTGTCGGCCGTCCCGAGACGTAACATATAAATTTAGAGTAAAATAATTTATCAGTCAATTCGAGTAGGCAAATAATATAGAATAAATGAACATGATAATGTACTTTTTCAATCTTCAACAGTAATTTATAACATAAAATGACATTGTCATTTTGTACTCATCTCTCTTGTCAGCTACTTTTTTTAAGTTGGTAACACTGAAATGCGACGTGAAACTGGTTGGATAGTCCTGAGATTGTTTTTTTTTGTTTTTAATCTATATTATTGTGATAACTTGCGCGCATTTTATGATAAAGTCAAGTCAGTGCTTGTTAGTTTTTTTGATTAATTGTACAAAAATATAACTTATTGTAATCTCTTATATACCTAATCGGTTGGAGATCGTATTCTAAATAAAAAATAAGAAAATAATCATCGCAATTTCTAAATACTTATTTGATTTTAATTAGCGTAGAGGTGGTCTCAAAATCGTCTAACAAACTTTAAATCGTTTTACAATCTCAAAAAAAAATAATCGAATTTTACAGCAATCATCTGGATATATATATTTTGTACGTTTTCCTCATCGCAGTAGGGAGTATACAAAGGAAAATACAACATATAGACACAAGTACAGTTGGATACGGATTTCTTTTGGCTAAAATCATCTGTGTATACAATGGCGCTAAACTACACTAAAAATCACTAAAAATTTGTTCAGCCCTATCAAATAACGTTTCGTTTTCTGAAAACGTAGTAATTGAGAGGACTAAACTAATTTTTAGTGATTTTTAGTTTATTTTAGAGAGTTTTCGAACAACAGAATTAGAACCAATTTATAAGTGTTTTATGGAATATTTAGGTCATTGATATGTGTAGACAGACTGTAAAAGCTGTGTGGTACTATACAAGCGACTTGTTAAGCCTGTTTGTTTCAGCTGTTTTGTTGTGCAACGTTCTATCTAGACACATAAAAGATCTAAAGTCTAATTTAACAAAAAATACTTAAGACAATTCCTTAAAACATTTCTAAGACTTACATTTACGCTAACCAAAATCTCTGGTAGTGTTCAACAACAATATTCCCCTGTTAGTCTTCACCACTGTGGTGGTGACACACAGGGGTCAGATCAGGAAGGTCCTATGTTATTTCATGGAAGACTCCGTGACGTCACAAAGGACGGACACCATGAAAGACTCGATACCTGATTCGTTGACGCCACGAGCGATGCGGAAGTATCCATTCTCTCCCCATTCTGGACCCCAGCTGTTGGCAACGAGCTGTGGAAACGAGAATTGAAACGTCAAGTTAGAGTTGAGACCTGGACATCTCAGGATGTCTTAGTAAAATTTGTACTCGTATTAAATACCGTATAGTTTTAGTCAGTTCAATTCCAACACTTTATCCCTCGAGAGGCTACCTGCGCCTATAAAAAGGAGGCAACAAAATGTACTGTTATGAAATAAGGGCTGGGGAAGGGTTACTTCGTGTCTTCATATTTCTAAAGTATTAAACAAACAAATAATGGTTGTAAACAACAATTTTCCATATTTAAAATTATTTATCTTTAGGCTTAATATTAAACGTCTTCGGATACAAGATGGTTCTTTCCATAAAGATAAGATCTTCCATTTGTTAATTACTTTTTTATTGTATTACAAAATTGCAAAACTCCTGAGGCATAAAATTGCAAAATAAACCACGATTCCTGGAATAAGAATGGTCAAGAATAAAGTAAGTTCCTTACCCAGTATTTATCTCCATTCTGCTCACCCCACCCAACGATCCTCACACTGTGATAACCTTTCATTTGCTGGTCACCAAACATGAAGTGACGGTAGATGCCGCCGCTGTAGTGGAAGAAGTCTTGGTATACCGTCATCACCGCTGCGGAAATTATTGAAATTAACATGTGAGAATTTACGTATATATCTAAAAAAAGTTTTTTTAATAGAAGAAATTTAAAGTCGGAGACCAGGACACATTTTGGGTCGCTAAGCCAACGAAGTAAGTAAGTAACGTTATTTTATCAGTTCCACAGGAGAAGTAGGCCTTTTTACTGTTTCTAATACTTCTTGTCAGTTAAGTAGTACGTATTTAGGTACTTAAATATATATATTTAAGTTTTTAGCTATTACAGAGTTGCCACTAATCAGTGGTTAAAGTGAGCGGAACGATAACACTCAACACGTCACCAGCTCAAAAAAAAGAAAAACGGTTGGCTAAAGTCTTAGATAAATCATAGTATTATGAACTAATATATATTTCATAATAGTCCTAGCTCATGGCTTCGATAGCGTAAAACATTTTTTTTAATATTTAGTACTTTTTTCTAAATGATAGATATTCTATGTCCTTAGCTGTACGAGTATTCTAAGCAAAGGCCTACCCTACGTAAAAATTACAAAACGATTGGTAAAGAACTTGGAAGAATAATTATTGTGAAGAAATAAACATTAAATTTTTATATAGATAGCTCACTGTGGTGACGGATTAAGAATATAGAGTGTCACCATCCCGTGGGTGTCGTAAGAGCCGACCAAGGAAGCGACAACGCAGGACAACAGCACGAACAGAGAGAAGGAAAACTTGACACAAACTCTATACCAACTCGTCTGGCCAGCGTGGTATAGTAGGCCAAAACCTTCTTTCTAAGGAGCGGCCTATGTCCAGCAGTGGACTGTTAAAGGCTGTTGATGTGATAGATAGCTCACTATGTGTATACAAGCTATACTATATGACACTAGCTTGCTTTAATACCGCGTATTAAAACGAGATGACGCCACAGGTTATTTCATGTCACGGTCAAGATCTTGAGATGAGATCGTTCAACAATTTCTTTGTATTAATCTTTCATACAGATAACTATATATATTTTTTTATAGTGATAATATTTTGGAATATCTGACACACACCGCCATCTAGTTTCAAACAAAGCAGAGCTTCTACAATGAAAGCTAGATTGACTGATAGAATACTTTTTTGTAAATATATACATTTTATACAGGAGGACGCCAACCCAAACTCCGAAACAAATATTTGCAGGTCGTACAAACATTTGGTCCTACCCGGGAATCGAACAGGAGATCTCAGCACAGCACACTTACGAAATATGGGGTCTAGTCTATGTCTCTATGTATCTACATTTGACTAAAAAACCATTTGTATTGGTTTGGTAATAACTAAGTAAACTTATCTATTTGTCTAAAGTACAAACTATGCTTAGTGTTGGTCTAGATAGCCTTATGTAAAATATACATGAAACATATTATCAAAATTCGCCATAAAAATATGTAATTTACTTACCTTGAATTGGTCCGGAAACCATAATATCGTACATGACATCCTGTTCTTTGACCAAACGACTGGGAGGTCCAACTTTATACCTGTCTTGGCGGTCTGCCACCAAAGGCCTGCACCCATCACTTAACAAGTTCCCTTCAGCTCTGAATGGACATGTGGTTACTCTTGCTTTGTAAGGGTAGCAGTCTTCGTCAACCATTCTGTTGTAAAAATGCATTCATTGTTAAAACATACTTTTTAAAATATCATCAAGATCATTGAAATGTATGATAGATTGCCAAAGTTGGGCAAGCGTAGAAAAAATAGCGTCCAACTGTTAGCCACTAAGTTTCTTTCTACGTTCACTATGTGTTTTTGTCGTGATGACGCTATTACTATAAACGGTTAATTTGCAAGCACACTAGCATAGAAATGCACGCACACCAACATAATAAAGATGGCCCGTTTGTTTTAGTTGTTTATCTAGAATCATCTAGATCTTTCTAGATCTAGATTTATAAATAATCTAAGGTCATCAACATTGACCAAAGAATTTAACATGAGATATACCTAACTTTCAACGTTAGCAAAGATCTTCTAAGATTTAATCATTCATTCATTCATGCATTAATTAGTTTGATTCTCTTATTTGTTGATTTGTTCGCTGAATTTCTTCTGACAAGTCTTAATCGGCATACATAGATCAATCCAAGCAGATACGGTATTAACCGTTAATTTTGCGGTGACTATAAACAATCAGACATAGTGTCTTGTGATCTAAAACTTGAAATTATATATTTTTTAATTGACGATTTCTAATAATTGTTAAGGAATTTTATACAGGACGACTGGCCAGTTGATCTGATGACAAGAGATCCTGATGTCGTGGCTTCGATACTGGTTGTTTGATAAGTAGAATCACTTCTTCTGTGTATAGACACAGAACAAGTGATTCTACTTATCAAACAAAGCAGTTTATAGTGCTATACATAGCTATAGTTTAACTATTTAGATATGAATTAAGAAACATATATAAGTATATTTATCAGCGGTTTGGTTACCATAGCACAGGTGTTTGGGATTAGACAGTCAGATGTATCTAATTATACAAATATCTATATGAGTTGTGAATATTTAAGATGCATTCTGAGTCGTCTTCTGATTTAGTCTTCACATGATTTCATGTATGAAAGTAACTGTTATAGTACCTGTCAATTTGAAGTTTAGAAAACCTTATGACAAACCTTACTTGAAAGAAGAAATTCTGCAATTCAGTTACACTTACCCGTGTACACTTGCGAATCTCCAAGCGGTATCGATGTGACCACCTTTGCAACCTTGCTGTCTTCTGACATTACAGGACAGAAGAGTCTGAGGACTCAGGCGCACCCTCTCTGCTCCTTTGGACTGGATCGCAAATCTGTTGACAACAAACATGAAGGGTATATAGGATAGGATCTCCTGTCGGTTATGTTGAATCTAGGAGTATTTGGTGCTTCCACTAAAAACCACCTCGACCAAAAACCATCACCCTCAGATGTATTGCACTGGGGAGGGCTCGGGCTATTTGATACCGAAGTCCTCCCGAATCGACGACGGGCCTCACCAGGCTCTATTCCGAAGGAATTCGCAAGCTTTCCCTCGCCAATCCGCCTTATCTATACATGTACGCATCTTTATTTTCTCATGTTGTCTAAGACAACTGTAACAAAGTCTCATAATCCACAAACACCCCCATATAGAAGCTATTTATTTATTTGAATCAATTCATCTTAAATCTTTGGCCTGTAGTGTATAAATACACAATTTAACAAGCAAACAATTCTACTACATCTTATGTAGATTTTTCTGCAATGAGGTTATGGGAAAGACGTTAGCAAATTTGTCTTTTGTATCGGTAATGTGACTTAATATTGTCGAATCTATCAATTTCTGCAACACTGGAGCAAGACTTGCTCGGTAGGGGGTAGGCAGTTTCAAATTTCAAAGTCTGGAATTCCATTAGGGTTGGCACGGTTTCAAAGTTTTCTGGGTTCGTTTGTTTCACTATTAGCTACACTCCATGTAACAGTAACTTGAGTATATGCTTTGGTCAAAACTATATCATAGGAATAGAAAGAAGAAATGAGATGCAGGTACAAAAAGTGTACGTTAAAAAAGGTTGGAAAATAAATAAATTGGCGAGAAAGAAGAGATTAAGATTTTTTTTGGAAAACTTCTTTTATTTCACAGGTCCACATTTCTTATCAAAATGGTTTTAATTTCATTCATTATATTTGTATGCACACATCCTTGGTCAAATATGGACCTTTGTTCAATTTAAATTAGAATTTTTATCTTTCTTCATAACTCATGGAAAACGACCGAAAAATATAACCATACCTTTCTAGAACATCGAGTGTAGTGTCTGTTTTAGTCATCTGTGTGTAATTGTAGTAGAAGTAATGTAGGAAATGGGCAAACGTAATAATGAATAAATCTCAGATTTATTGCTCCTACTTGTGTGATATCTTGTCGGCTACGTATATATTAATTAGAGGCTTCTTGAAAACTGCAGGCTACGTAAAATCTAGAGCAGAATACGGTGGTAGGCAGCCCTGCGAGAGAGGTACTCAGGCGAACGAAGAACTCTTGTCATTTATTTTTAGCACGCCGCGTCTCAGGTTTGCATAAACAAGAAATAAGAATTGGGTATCATTCCATTCGACGTTATGGCGGTAAAATGCCGAAGGTGTTTTGTTTTATTGGTCGTACATCGAGTTTATTACACTTGGGTAGAATGTACGAGTAATCTGTTTGCTGACAAATCCAGTGTCTTATAATTTCACTGTTTATATTATGTAAAACATTTAAATTCAGAGCAAAAATAAGAATTAAAATTCACCCAAGTGCGAATAAGACGACACGAATTGTTCTTCACAATCACAATTTATTATACATTTTGTATTTGATTATAGTAACTATACCACCTACACGATCGCTAAGAGTGGCTCACTTTGAAATTTTACGTGTCTGCTTACTAAAGTTGTAAAGTAAGTGACAAAATTGCAGGTCTGGTTTTACTTCACGATCAAAGAAAGAAAGAAGAAGAAAGAAAGATCAAAGAAAACATATTTTATTTAAGAATTATCATGAACTACAGAATGTTTTGCATAATACTTAGCAAGTACATACAAATAACTATTTTAATTAGTAAACAAGGATGTCAAAATTAGGCGTGGGTGGACTCTAACTCTATAGAAATAGTTTTGATTAATTTCTAATTCTTGACGGTAAATCAAGGGCAAGTGGATATGACGTGTATAACTACACTTCATATCCACTTATCCTTGATTTATATCGGTATATTACGTCACATCGACAACCTTTAATAGTCTACTACTGGACAAAGGCCTCTCCTTAGTAAGAAGGGTTTAGCCTGCTATACCTCGCTGGCCAGGCGGGTTGGTATAGAGTTTGCGCCAAGTTTTCCTTCTCTTTGAAGTGTTGTAATCCTGCGTAGTTTGCTCCATGAGTCGGCTGTTACGCGACCCACAGGATGAATAGGCCCCTATGTGACACTCCGTATTCTTTCCGTATTCAATATATACATTTACAGATATATTATTATTAAATATTTAATAAATACGTGGAAATGTATAAAAGCATATTCGAAATCCAATGGTAGATAGTTACAGAAATTAACGCTATTAGATCTTATGTTAAGGTTACAAAGCTGAAGTTTATTTATTGGTTGTAGTGGTAGTTGGACCACCCAACCCACGTTGTGGTTGTAGTGTTATTGGTTAGTGTTGGATAGCTTATTTATCGAGGAAGGCAGGAGGAAGACTCTTATTGGTCGTCATCACGTTGCGACCAATAGGAGCCGTGTATCAATGAAAAATGTTCCAAAAACGGACAGAAAATTTATTCCTTTTAGAGACGCAGATGAATTTTCGTGGTTACAGAATGCAGAATATTTATTGAAGAAGGTTATGTGTAGGCAATGCAACATTACGCCACGCAGAGCAGGGACCAAAACTAAAACTGTAGGGAACGGCCATTATGGAATAAATTAAAGTTTTTTTTTTTATTAACAAGAAGCCAGTTTTTTAAACTCTATTAAACTTATCTATGTGAGACACAGAACTATAGTAGTCATAGACAAACTATCATCATTTCAGATGAAAGAATTCCACTACTGGACAAAGGTTTCCCCCAAGTTTCGCCTTAACAACCGGTCATGTGCTGCCCGCATCCAAGGGATTCCAAGGTCGTTGGACACGTACACAAACAATTGTCGTAAGTTAGTCTTCTTTCTATCGGTCAGGGGGTTAGGTTAAAGTTAGATGGTAACGGGTGGGGCACCAGACATTCGAACTCGTTACAGGTTGGAACCGTCGTAACCGTTGTATTTGTATTTGTAAAAAAATCATTTCTAAAATGTTAAAAAGTAAAAGAGCCAACTTCGAGTCGCGTTCGTGTAGTCACACAGAACGCGCGCGTTGTTTTGCTTGCACAGAGTAACTAAGTACTAATTGTTATTAGTGATAACGATTTGTGTGTATAATGGAAGAAATGAGCAGTGAAGGTGAAGATTCTAGTGACTCAGAATTTCTAAATAAGTGCCAGCAAGAACTTGAGCAGTCACTAATTAATAAGACGATAACGGAAAAAAAGAATGAATTAGAGAAAGGAAGTGCAGAAAAAAGGAAGGATAGGGAAGATGATTGCAGCGTAGAAGATGACTTTATTACTGTTGTGAGAAGGAGACCAAAACGGTTGGTTCGAAGTAAATCTACGGAAATGATGAATATTGAGAGGGTAGATGAAAATAAAAATGATAAACAATCAGAACAGAATACTATGCATGAGGTATGTGTCACATCCATGGAAAGCTTACCTAAACAAATGGCTCTGGCTAGGTTGCTCAGATCGGAGAGCATTAGTGGTATCACTAGAATTAAGTATAAAAGTTTTAATAAGGTATTGATACAATTTCAAGGTCAAGAAGATGCCAATAAATTATTAGAATGCCAAAAACTTACAGAGATGGGTTTACGATGTCAAAAAATAAATGAAATGTCATTCTCATACGGCATTGTAAAAGGTGTTGACATTGATTTGTGTGATAAAGACTTAAAAGAAATAATAAAATGTGAAATAGAAATTATTTCTATTAAACGGTTGAAACGCTTAAACGCGGAGGGCAAATGGGTGGACAGTGAATCTATTCGGATCTGTTTTAAAAACAATACATTACCACCTTATGTATATGCATATGACTGCCGTTTTAGAGTTGAAACTTATACTTTCCCCGTGACTCAGTGCTCAGGCTGCTGGCAGTTTGGACATATTTTTAGGTTTTGTCCCACTAAAAAGAAATTATGCCCTAAATGCGGAGATAATCACGAAAATTGCGAGGAAAAGAATTTGAGATGTCTGAATTGTAAGGGAGCACACCTGGTATTAGATAAGAAATGTCCTTTTTATTTGAAAGAAAGACAGATAAGAGTAGTTATGAGTGAAAAACAAGTACCGTATCGAAAAGCGCTTCAAATTGTTATCGAGCAACGAAGGGCGATAAATGAGGGGGCTAGAATTACAAAAGATCAGCAATCAAGCACACAGTTAATAAGAAATAATGAAACATATAGTAGTGTAGCTGCTGGCACGGGGGTATATATGGAACCAATGTCACTTCAATCAGATTCGATGGAAACTGAAAACGAGACATCTAATGAACCGACACATATATTGCAAGATAGAACTCGGGTCAAGAAGAAAAAGAGAAGTGAAGTCAACCAAGTCTTCTCGGAGCAGATAGAGGAGGAAAGATGTAATAAATCTCAAAGTGAAGACCATGGAAAGGGTAATAATATAAGGAATGAGGAATTAAGGTATAAGTTCGAATTTAAGAAATTAGTTTTAAAATTAAATTATATTTTAATATCGGAAGATAAAATGCAAGATAAAATTATATCATGTTTTAAAATAATTTGGGACGAGGTTAGTAAATTCTTAGTAAATGTGTTTTCTATGAGAGAGTATGTAGATAAATTTATTAGTTTTATAAATGGCTAATATAAAGATTAATATTTTGCAGTGGAACGCTCAAAGTATACGGCCTAAATTAATATCATTTGCTGAACTATTAAATCAGGAAAACATACATATAGCTATTTTAAGTGAGACATGGTTGAACAGTGAGACCCACCTGACTGTTAGAGGATATAATATATATAGGTGTGATAGAAGAGATTCATATGGTGGGGTTTCAATAATGGTGCATAGGTCCATACAATCGTATTTAGTGCCGGTAACTTGTAATAACTCCGGAATAGAAATAATTTGCGTTAAATTAGTGAATTGCATGAATATAGAACAGTTAATAGGTATTTATTGCCCCTCTTCGGTACATACTCAACAGTCTGATTGGGATAGTATTTTTTCAACGTATTCTAAGTCTACTATTATTGCTGGGGATTTTAATGGTCACCACACTAATTGGTCGGTTAAAACCGATACAAGGGGTACTCAAATAATGGATTCAGCCCTAGAAAATTCTTATATATATCTTAATAATGGGCTAGCCACACGAATCAAGTTAGTTAATGGTAATCTACAACAGACCTCACCGGATATAACTTTTGTCTCATCTAATATTGCGATTTATTTCGATTGGCAAGTGTTCAATGAGAACCTAGGCAGTGACCATATGGTCATTAAAATGACAACCATTATTACAAATGGTTACTCTACAACGCAAAAAAGAAATTATGATAGAGCTAATTGGGTTGAATATCGAAAGTCATTGATGAATAAATTTAATTTTGGCTATAATAACGACTCACAAGAGATGTATAATGCTTTTTTAAAACAAATTAATGCCGCGGCTGATAAATTTATTCCTTTTATTAAGTATTGCAATAAACCCACTACTAAATTTAAGCCTAAACCCTACTGGAACCCGGAATTATCAAATATAGTAGCTCAACGCAGGTTGGCGCTATCTAAGTTTCGTCGCAACCCTACTCCAGAAAATTTATTCATATTTAATGAAAAAACACGAGAAGCTCACAAATTAATAAATAAAGCTAAATCTTCAAATTGGCAAAAATTTTGCGATTCTATTGATCAGGAAACTTCAACTTCTGAGATGTGGCGCCGTATGAGATGGATTAAGGGTTTCAGAGGGACAAAAAGCTATCCTCCCGTCGATAAGCAGAAACAATTATTATACTCGCTTACTCCTGATTATGCACAAAATTTAATGCCTAAGTTTAGTTCACGAAACGCCAAATTGGAACGAAATTTTAGTTTTCAGGAATTTCAAAATTGCCTTAAAAAAAAGGATTCTGCACCAGGCGAGGATGGAATTTCTTACTCCATGATTTATAATCTTCCCAATGAAGCTAAATCATTTTTACTTAAAATTTACAATAACATTTTAAACTCTGGTACTGTCCCTCATCAATGGAGAAAGGTTCAAGTAATTCCTATACCAAAATTGAATAATAATTCCCCCGAGATTAAACTTAGGCCTATATCCCTTATGTCTTGTCTATGTAAAACTTTCCATTTAATGTTATACAAACGATTGGAGTGGTTTGCGGAAAAGACAAGTATTCTTTCATCAAACACGGTTGGTTTTAGGAAAGCACATTCCTGTCTAGATGCGGTCACTAAGTTGGTTACGTACATACAAATTGGCTTCACAGAAAATTGCCCTACTTTGGCTTGTTTCTTGGATATTCAAGATGCATATAACAATGTGTCAATAGAGGCTGCGACTAATATTTTAGATAAACTCAATATAGGGTCTAAAATATGTACTTACATATGGTCACTTCTAAGTGAAAGACAACTTAATATTAAAATAAATAATAATAGTGACTGTTTGATTATGCGGTGGACTAATAAAGGCTTAGCACAAGGAGATCCCCTATCCCCATTACTTTTTAATTTAATAACACATGGGATTAATACATTGCCCTTAAACGTAATATGGTCACAGTATGCGGACGATTACGTTTTATATATTAAGGACAGGGACTTAAAAAAATGTGAAAGAAACATGCAAAGTGACTTAAACACTATAGTGACATATTTAAGCGAACTTGGTTTAGAATTATCTCCCACTAAATCTAATTACTGTGTCTATAGCAGGGGTCGAAGGAGAATAACTCCCATACTAAAATTAAATGGGCAAAATTTATTATTATCAGACTGTACTAAATACTTAGGTATGTGGTTGGACAGAGGTTTACGATGGGGTAAGCACATTAACAAAGCTATTGAAAAATGTTCCAAATATTTAAATATTTTAAAAGTACTAGCTGGTAGCGCATGGGGGGTGCACACAAAACATTTGCGTAGGTTATATATTAATTTGATAAGAAGTCGAATAGATTACGGATCATTCATCTTTGATTGTTGTGCAAAAACACATTTATTAAAACTGGACAGATTGCAAAACCAGGCCTTAAGAATTATAGGGGGTTTTATTAAAAGTTCACCGATCCATGTTATGGAAAGTGAGTTAAATTTAATGCCATTGTTTCTGAGAAGGCAATTCTTGGCTTATAAATGTAGTCTGAAAGCGGCTTCTTGGGATAGTAATCAAATCGTTGACCTAATATCAAATTTAAACGTCCTGTCTACTGATAGATATTGGGCGAATAAGAGAAAACCGCTGCTTATTAAGACTTTTAGTGTTGTGAGCCAATGCAATATTAATTCATTCCATCTTCATGGTATGTTTTCCTTGGATGTTTGGGTAACAGATATAGAAACTAAAAACTATTTTAAAGTAAACCTGGAATGTATAAAATCCTCAAAAACAAATTATGAGCCTAATTTATTGTTGAATAACATAGTGTCAGAATTAAACAGTACATACAGCGAGTGGCATAAGATATTTACGGATGGGTCTAAAAGTGAATGTGGTTCGGGAGCTGGTTTTTATGATAAAAATTTGGAATATGCGGCTGGTTTTAAAGTTAACTATGAGGCATGCATAATGTCGCTGGAGCTGATTGCAATATTTCAGGCATTATCTTATGTAAAAAACCTAAATCTAAATTTAAACAAAATTGTAATTTTTTCGGACAGTAAGAGTGCGCTGCAGCATATGGCTCGATGCGCTTCTGGCTTCAGAGGTGCTTCGATAGCCTATGAAATCTTAAAAACTATTATTTCCTTAAATAAAAGTGAAAAAGATGTAAGGTTGCAATGGGTTCCAGCACATATTGGTCTTAAGGGAAACGAACAGGCAGACCGAATAGCTAAACTGGCAGCTGTAAATGGAAGCGCTCTAAATTATCTACCTGATGACTGGGAATTAGTGTCTAAATTTAAAAAATGCTGCTATGATGACTGGGTTATTTATTTTAACGATAGATCTAAGGAAAAAGGTATCTGGTACAAAACCATTCAGGCAATGCCTCCTCAGGTCGCATGGTTTGATGACGCTCGATTAAGCAGACACTATGTGAAACTAGCTCTTAGAATTAGATCTGGTCACTATCCATCAGCAAAATTTGCACATTTAATGAAAAAAACTGACTCACCTAATTGTCCTGTTTGTAATAAAATAGAAGATGTGCAGCACTTGCTGATGGATTGTGACAGGAATAAAAATGAACGCGAGGCTTTGCTCAAAGAACTAAATATAAATTTATTAGATGTGGGTTTAATACAAAGCATAATGAGTTATCCAAGGTCAGAAGCAGCTAAAAAATTGTGTCACCTGATTACAGTAGTTCAGCAATGATTTAATATACCAGACTGTTTTAACAAAAATTATTTGTGTTTACCATGTATCAAGGTACAATGGGGTTGGCATATCCTTACTGGATCAAAACCCCAAATCAAATAAAGATTAAAAAAAAAAAAAAAAAAAAAAAAAAAAAAAAAAAAAAAAAAAAAAAAAAAAAAGAGCCAACTAAAAGAATCAATAATTAAAATGGGTTAACTTACCTATCAGAAATAATAGTGGCTAGAGAGACAGCCCAGTCGGATCCGCACCAGCCTTGGTCCACCACCGGTGTAATGAAATTGGCCCAATTCTGTCTGCTGTCGAATTGACGGGGATAGTCAATATCCTTGTCGTAGTTGACAGCACCAAGGTGATATAACTCTTGGCTTAGTTTAAATGTACCTTAAATGAAAAGGATTAAGTTAATATTTAAATGGACATTTCATAATTCCTGCCCTTGGACGTCAGTTGTTGGACATAGCCCTTCCTACTGCCCGCATCCAAAAATAATTTCTACCCCGCTAGACTTTAATCTGATTGTTGGTTTAAATTCTATCTGTTTGAAGTGTTCAAAGTCAACATTCTGTAGTCCCAAATTTGTGGCTACTATACAATCATTATTGTTTATGAGTGAAACCTCCAGATCCGTCAAGAATAAAGGCGGAGGCAGAAACAAACATTTTTTTTGCAGAAATTCTTTCTGAACACCGAATAATTTTTTGACTGACTTCGGCCAGTAAGCAGCCCATTGATATTTAAAGAAACGCCAAGTTCTGCAGCCGAGAAGTTGTTTAAAAAAAATCAACATCACAATGACCAATATCTGTCAAATCAGCTTTGCTCATTAGCCTTTACCTGATCTATCACAATTTTGACTTTTATTTCCATTGACATATATAGCGTTATGATAATAAATCATCATTTTCATACATTAATACAAATAGTATAAACACAACAGACTAGAGTTACGCTTTTGTTGTGACTCAAAGCGATAAATTTATTTGTTTGTGAGTCATTTAATATGATGAATATTGGCGGTGACATGTATTATGTCATTGTGGTGTTGTAATACCCACTCATATTATTTATAAAGTATTAGGTAATAACAATTATGTTACAGAATAGATAGGTAAACGAGTTATCATTATATTTAACAGAACGTTGATATAAGTATTAAAATATGTTATTAGTGTGTCGTGACGTAAAGGTGCCAACTGAACCCATGAATAACTTTCCGCTATTAGCCTGTCTGTATGTCAACGGTCTGTATCTTATGAACGGTCAACAGTCTTTAATAGTCCACTGCTGGGCATAGGCCTCTACTTAGAAATGAAGTTTTGCCGACTATACCTCGGTGGCCTGCTGGGTTACATTAGGGTTTGTTTCAAGTTTTCCATCTCTATTGTCCTGCGCAGTTTGATCCCTTAGTCGGCTCTTACGACACCATCGGGATGAATAGGGAAACTCCGTATTCTTAGTATTCTCATCACACGGACAGAACCGTAATAGGTAGATGGTTAAAGATTTCACAGAGAGTAAGAGCAAACAATAAAATGAAAAAAAAATGGGGCTCATATAAGAAACGTATGTGTTAAAACTAGTATGATGCTACGGAACCCTTTTGTGCGAGTCCAATACGAATTCTTCGGGTCAGTATTTTGTTACACTCATGATGTGATGAAGGAGAAAGCTTGGGATTGTATACCACAGGTTTAAAGAGTCTTAAGCTGTTCTAACAATCTAATGTCATTGTTAGAAGCACAATTCCAACTTTCGCCGTCTCTTTGTTACTTAGATAATGCTAATAGAAAGACCTAGATAGTTTTACTTTCATACCGGTACTGGATGGCTGGTAAGCTTTAAGCTCGTACTTGAATTTGAAAATAAATTCAGCTCTAGCTTCTACCGGCGGCTTCGCTCGCGTCCATCACATCAATTGTTCTAGACTACAAGTACGATGAGACGTTCTATTTTTTTCATTTTTTTAAGTATTTTAGTATAATAATAATATTTTTCGGATTGCACGACTGCTCGGATGGCGTAGATATTTAAGCGGTCATCTCGCCGCTTCCTACTTCGCTGGGTGTTGTGGGTTCGATCCCCACATGCGACAACACTTTGTGTGATCCACAAATTGTTGTTCTGAGTCTGGGTTTCCTTTGTGTCCGTTTAATGTATGTTTGTAAAGTCCCCCGCGACACAGGATTTATTCCTAGTAAGTACGGTAGTTGTCTTTTCTTTAAGAAAAAAATTTTTTTTTTCTTACATCTGACACACAATGCCATCTATTTTCAAACTAAACAGAGCTTATACGAGTACTATGAGAGCTAGATTGACTGATAAAATACTGATTATATTCTTTTTTATGTAAATATATACATTTTATATGAGAACACCCAAACTCCGAAACAAATATTTGCAGATCATACAAGCATATGGGCCGACCCGGGAATCGAACCCGAGACCTCAACACAGCAGTAACATACGCTACCACTGCACCACCGAGGCAGTCACTATGTACGAGGAATGATAACATTCCCAGGGGGAGTTAAAAGGAAAAAGCCAAAACCGTTTTGCAATGAAATGAAGGACTACGTGAGACAGGCTTGATCTTGTGCAGTGACAGAGCAGAATAAAAGAAGAAAACTACTTGTATAAGGTTTTATTCAGGATATAGGGGCCAACAATCAAACAGATCATCTGTTAGTAAGTGACAACCGCCGCTGATGAACTTAGAGTCGTCCGAGACAATTCCTAGCGAGAAGCCGAAGATTCGTCATCATCCATCATCAACAGCCTTTAACAGTCCATTGCTGGACATAGGCCTCTCCTTAGAATGGAGGTTTTGGCATACAACATTGGCCAGACGGGTTGGTATAGGGTTTGTTCAAGTTTTCCTTCTCGTGCTGTCGTCCTGCGTAGTTTGCTCCCTTAGACGGCTCTTACCACACCCACGGGATGAACAGGGGTGGTGACACTCCGTATTCTTAAACCGTCACCATACGAAATAGCCGAAGATTAAATTCTTGCAAAGTTTAACTTACCCAGTTTAAAAATGAGTCCATCCTTGAGCTTCTTATTATAAAACTGGCTGTAGTTGGAAGCGCGCCAGCCGAGTCGGTAGTCACGGTTCACGTAGCTGATGACGTCATCGTCTATGATGCACGGGTCCCGACTGCACTGCCAGTTGTTCTGTTCATACTCGAACACGCACTCACTGGGAAAGAAATGATAATAATTGTTAGGACTATTTAACAAAAGATATTGACATGGTGATACAATAAATCACTGCATTAATTGATGGAATAAAATCACAAGCACCTGTGATAATGATTATAGTTACATTAGCGCCGGGCTCACGAAAGGTCCGAAAGGGTTTTTTTTTAAAGTCGTAATCTCTGATAAAAATCGCGTAACAAACTTACATAAAAAAAAATACAGACGAATTGAGAACCTCCTCTTTTGTGTTTTGGAAGTCGGTTAAAAAGAACATTCAAGCAGTTTTAATGGGCAATCATAGTAGTAATTTATCAGATGAAATCGCAGTGACTAAAACTAATCATTTCATCATATGATTTTGATTTAAAAGTAATAATTATTAGTATTAAGTAACAATAATTTCCCACTAATTTATTTTGTAAAAGATAGACACTGACAGAATTTTAAATTTTAATTAAAATTAATTACGTTCGAATTAGTACGTGTGAAAATACTCGCAGTGAAATTATAAATGGCCTTTGGGATTTATGTTTAATAAATTATTTGTAATCAATTGGTATAGACTTCAGACTATTTGCATATTAAATTATGATTGTCATAGAATATGTGTAAGAATACAGTTAAAGGTATTTCTAAGTACATTTTCTAAGTTCTTTGTAAAAACTGATATGAAGTTTAATTACTTTAAACGATTAATAACCTTCATTTCTGAATGAGGAAGTTTGTAATAACTATTGAATAACAGAATTAATAATTCAGTATGAACGTAAACAAACGCCTACAGTACAGCAAGGCAGTATTGTCCTCGACACAGCTAGGCCATAGATGTTTATATCAGACGTATTGAATTACGAATAAATGTGTAATAATAATAATTTATCGTCGTAAATACGACATAATTTACGACATATTTGACTGACTGCACGGATGTCGTAGTGGTTTAAGCGGTCGCCACGCCGCTTCTTACTGCGCTGAGTGTTGTGGGTTTTTTGTGTGATTTACAAATTGTTGTTCTGAGTCTGGGTGTTCTTTGTTTCCGTTTCATGTATGTTTGTAAAGTCTCTCGCGACACAGGATATATATGTATTCCTAATGCGGGAGTTGTCTTTTAAAAAGAAAAAAATATGTGGCTATGCATTAATTACTACGTGAAGAGAATTCTTAATAAGGATTAATTAGGTTTCGCGAACGGAAGGAATGTGAAATTTAAAATAAATAAAGTTAATACATATATAAAGAAATGCAGAAACCTTATTGTGTGAAATTGGCTACAATAAGCTAACTATATAATGGTAGTTCAAGTTATGTTATTCAACGATATATACACATAAAAAAATGTTTAAAACTAAATGAATTATGGTTGAAATTCGACTAACAGGCGTTCTATTACATATAAACGTTTACTTTAGTAACTTGGATGTTACAAAACCCAAGTCGATTTTTTAGACACATAAACTACATAGAATAAACGGATTGACGGAGTGAAAATACTACCTCTGGCGTAGAAAACTTTTTGTTACTTGTTTCGTCAGAGATAGCGGATATCTCTTGGTTGCAACCATTTTAATAAATCTCGACATTTACCAAATAATTCGCCCAAAATAAATAGCAATATTCCTGTATGTAGTTTGCGTGCTCTCGTAGTCACAATTTAGTTAGTGCTTAAATAGTATAAACAATGTATAACTAATTAAGCAGATTATGTCATACTGGTTTATAGACATACGCCGCACGGACACAAAAAAACATCGAGCCAAAATAGAGTTATATTTAATTTAAAACTTTTGCTTTCTATGATATCGACGAATCGAATTGCCACTCCTAACTGACGAAATCTACTAGCTAACTAATTTAGACATTTTAAAATAATTTCATTAAACTCTCAAAACGTATCTCATAAATAATGGCAACATTGAACGCAGTGGCAGTTGGCAACACACAAAGAACTGGGCCATTCGTGGAGTAGTATGGATGACATATTTTAATGACCTGATACTTATTAACAATATTTCTTAAGCCTAAATTACAATCTCAAAATTGATTAATAAATATTTATATCATTTTATTTTTATTATGGAAACATTATTATTTATTACTAGCTGGTGCCCGCGAATTCGTTCGCGTGGAATTTGAAAAGCGCTGAAAACGGCTGGATCGATTTTGATAATATTTTACTAATAAGTAGCTTTCTATATGAGGAGTAACTTAGACTATTTTTTCTCTCAAAAAAATGCTATAAAATTTTGCCTGGTTCGGAAATCAAATGCAATGCAAAAATAAAATGCAAAGACTTGACACGTCTTCGATGAAATATATCGAATGTATACAGATAAATATATTTACATTGACAAGATAGAAGGAGACTCCATTACATTATTGTAGAATTATTAATGAAATGGTTGATTGTTGACTCATTCATGTACAATGTCATACGTATGATTACGTTAGTGTGACTAAATTATTAATCACAATGTAATGATTACTTGTGCATTCCATGAGTGTTTGGATATAACTGGATTATTTGTATACGCAAGTACTTGTGGAATTATTCACTGTATTCTATATCTATAAAAAAATCGCGGGCTTAAAAAAATCAGTTTCACCAACAGCTTTTAATAGTCCACTGCTGGACATAGGCGTATTTTTAGAAAGGAGGTTTTGTCCTACTATACCATGCTGTCCAGATAGGTTGGTAAAGGGGTTGTGTCAAGTTCTTCTTTTCGAAATTCAAAACGAATTCCATTTTCAAAAAATATTTTGACCACAAAGTAACAACATCCGTCACAGTGAGACCTTGTTTTTGATAATGGCGCCAGACTAATTAGACACAGACAATTTCGAGCCAAACTCAATGTTCTCTCAAACATCAAATGTTCCGCTTATTTTACCATGATGTCAGACGTGATAATAGTTCTAATGTACATGGTTACCATTCATTAGAATTCCTGCAGAATGCAATCATTGCATTAAAATGCTAGATTGACTACGTTAATTATTCCGTTTTATGGACATTTAGATAAAGTCGCTTAAAGGTCAGAATTCGACCGGAATTTGCTAAATATTTTGATAACTCGGGTGATTATTTCACATTTCGTTTTTCTAACTTTGAAATTGACGAACTTCTATACAACCGTTATTTTACCCCCTTAGGGGCGGAATGCCCAAAAATCCTTTCTTAGTGAGTGTTTACAACATACCTACATAAAAATGAATCAGTTGTCAAAATTCCAAGTTAGAAGAGTTGTATGACCTTATACATATTAAAACCTTTTTAAAAAGTCGCACAGATAAGTAAATTACAATCAAAAAATACATACAGTGGAACATAGAACCTCCTCCTTTTTTGAAGTCGGTTAATAATACAAATCTTTGCTTGCAACTTTGAATCGAATAAAATAATCAAGATTAAGACACGAGATAATCTAGATATCTTTGGCAGAATAAATTTATTTAGTAACAATGTGTCATAGACTGAACGCTTCCTTAGTTAACAACAAAAAAAGCTGGGATAATGTCTGTTTTTATATTGAGATTAAACAAAAACTCAGGTCGTTGTCCGGAGATGTAACACCTAAATCTTTAGTACATTTCGAACGTGTGAGGTAAGTTGTCAAACATAAAAAGTTAATACAGAAATATATTTACTAAGTTTTATTTTATTACCAACTTGTTCTGTTCAGCTGTCGTCCTCGTCGAGTTTTTAATAATACAAGATTTTTTCGGCAATACTTTTTTTTATCAGTTTGATCATTTTTGACATAGATTCTTTCTTGTTTTTTTTTTGGTCTTAAGTTCAATATTTTGATTAATTTATAAATACAGTTTATAAATTGAATTAAGCCACTTGTTGTTTAAAACAATAACACTTACAATGTTGTTACATTAAAATAATGCACAATACCAGTTTTAAAAATATTAATACAAATCAGATTATATTAGAATCACAAAATTCTAAATGTCAAGTTTTTAAGTGTCAAGAAATGAACATATAATAATTATTGTGTCAAAAATCGAATTACGATTCTTTGTCAAATTAAACAATGCCATTTACAACATAAATTACACAATTTACTAATATTTCAAAAAAAAGTATCAAAATGTCAATTATTGTAATAAAATTACAAAAAATAAAATTATAATATATTAAAAATAATAAATAGTAAATTCCATAAATAATATATTATATATTATTTATGGCATAAAAGCCAATTGTGAGCTATTCTGAGTTAAAATGAAAAAGGTGCAATTGACATAAGTCAAAATTTGTAGCAAGTCCTACAAAGTACCATCAGTCAACAGTATAAATAGTATAACACAGTTTATAGTAACTCTAAATAATTACAGTAATGAAAGGGATACTTTTAGGGTTCCGTACCTCAAAATGTAAAAAAGGAAACCTTATAAGGTCACTCTCTTGTCCGTCTGTCTGTCCGTGTGTCACCACCGATTTTCTCAGGAACGGGTAAACCTAGCATGTTGAAATTTGTACCAGATACCGAGGTCTATAGTCCCTATTAGGTGTATAAAATCTGGGTAGGTACGGAACCCTCGGCGGACGAGTTCGACTCGCACTTGGCAGGTTTTATTTCATGTTAATTATTCAACGCGCCATCTTTGATGCTGCGGCAAACTTTTATTGGGGAGGAGTTCGTAAAAAAACGTTACAATGACAGGCAGCCATGATTGTATGATTGATGACATATTTGACTATATATTAGTTTATCTGTCATTCAGAGTGACATTTTCTTCCGCGTGGTAAGCAGGTGACCTTCGTTTATTAAGAGTAATATACTCTGTAAACTCTATTATACTCTGTATGTCTGTATTATAAGAGCCCTAACACGATTCTGACGTAGATTTTAAAGACTATTTAAAATTCATCATATTGATTATAAATTAAATATACAAAATAAATAAATAAAACTTAGAGTGCATATTCGTACTGTTATTATTAATGTTTTACAGTGATTTATACAAAATATATTTTTTTATTGTTAT